TTTTTTTAATTTATTGTAGAGATGAGGTCTCGCCAAGTTGCCCAGGTGGGTCTCGAACCCGCGGGCTCAGGCAATCCACTCACCTCGGCCTCCCAAAGGCACGAGATTACAAGCTGAGCCACTGAGCCCAGCTAATAAAACAAACTTAAAAAAAAAACCCAAAAAACAAACAAAAAAAACAAACAAGAGATGTGTTCTATGTATTACTTTTTGAAGTTCAGTTGAATTATGGTAGCAATGTGTAGTATGACATTTGCTTAACAGTGCTTCTGCCATTTTCTTTGTCCTGCCTGTCACATGGTGATACTAGCATTCATTTGATTAATGTAATCTTTTGAACAAATGTCATACTTGAAATGTGCATGCATTTTTTTGGCACACCCCTGTATTTGCAGAAGAATGAAACTAGACCCCAGCTGGGCTCGGTGGTTCAACCTGAAATCCCACACCTTTGGGAGGCTGAGGTGAGTGGATGGCCTGAGCCCACGGGTTCGAGACATGCCTGGGTAATTTGGCGAGACCTCATCTCTACAATAAATCAAAAAATTAGCCAGGGGTGGTAGCGCGCGCCTGTAGTTCCAGCTACTTGGAAGGCTGAGGTGGAAGAATCGCCAGAGTCCAGCAGGTCGAGGCTGTGGTGGCTGGGAGCAGCCACTGCTCTCCAGTCTGGACGACAGAGTGAGACTCCAACTCAAAAAAAAAGAAAAGAAAAGAAACTAGACCTCCATCTCTCACCGTACACCAACATCAGCTCAAAATGCATTAAAGTCATTTTTTTTTCCGAGTTGGAATCTCTCACTCTGTTGCCCAGGCTAGAGTGCAGTGGCATGATCATGGCCACTGCAGCCTCAATCTGCTGGGCTCAGGTGATCCATCTGCCTCAGCCTTCCAAGGAGCTGGAACCACAGACATGCGCCACCCTGCCCGGCTAATTTTTTTGATTTATTGTAGAGATGAGGTCTTACCAAATTTCCCAGGTTGGTCTCGAACCCCTGGAATTCAGGCAATCCTCTCGCCTCTGCCTATAAAGTGCTGGGATTACAGGCATGAGCCATGGTGCTCAGCTATGACTATATTATTAATCAGTGATCACATGTACCCCCAAGGTATGTCCGGCTATTTTGCATCTGTTTTAAAAATGTAAAAAAGAGCCGGGCTTGGTGGCTCAGCCTGTAATCCCGCACCTTTGGGAGGCTGAGGTGAGTGGATTGCCTGAGTCCACGGATTCGAGACCTGCCTGAGCAGCGAAACCTCATCTCTACAATAAATCAAAAATCAGCCGGGCGTGGTAGCGCTCGCCTGTAGTTCCAGCTAGGAAGGCTGAGGCGGAAGGATCACTGGACCCCAGCAGGTCGAGGCTGCAGTGGCCGGGAGCGGCCACTGCACTCCAGTCTGGGCGACAGAGTGAGACTCCAACTCAAAAAAAAAAAA